TCAAACTTCATGATTCATTAAGAAGAGGAAGTGTGAGCAGACTGGACAGATGAGTGGGACTGGAAAGCAGCAGGGAGAGAGGTGAAGGAGGAAACTATTCAGCTGGCTATGCATACGGCTACATATAAAGTCCACTGTGTTCTAGTTGTTACTTACTTACTCTTTACAGTAGTTGCAAATGAGAATCAGTTCTCAATCAACCTACCAAGATAAATTAAGGTTAAATTAAGAAGAATGTGATGTGGTTTCCTTTGGGTAGACACTTAAATCATGTTCATTTAAACTTCTTGGTTGGTGAGTCAATTGTCATTCTTCTAGAAAACAGAAATTCACACATATCACATTTAAACAACAGAATTATATGGGTTTGGGTATGCCACAAATATTCAGTGACTTGTAATTCAGTAGTACTAGTAGTGATGACTGTAGTAAGGTAATAACAAGTACAGATACTTAAATTGACTGTGCATTATACAAATGCCATGATCTTAACTTGGGAACAAATTGTAAGGCTCTAAACATTACAATACAGTAGAATTTTACTGGTTTTAAAAATTCTAGCAAGAACAATGTGACAATAGTTGATAATATAAGTCAAAATCCAAACCATACCAATAGGAATGTAAGTTTCAAGCTAATTTTGACTGGTGTTCTTTTCAATGAGGTTTGTGTTTGGCATTGAAAAGCATGTCATTATGCATTGTGCACTTCAGCATCACCTTGTAAAGTAGTACAGACATGAGCAGGCTAACTAAAGCTAACCATGATATGTGTGTATTTAAATGTGTCTGTTTGCACGGCCATTCCTCTCTCCTCTCCTCCAGCCTTTCCTCGGTGTGATGTTTTCCTTTGCCTCTAATGAGTTCTAAGTGGCCAATACTTTCTTCTGCAGGAAACTCGTGTCAAACTAATTAACTTTTAATGAGAGGAAACCCACTGATTAGAGTGTTTTTCTTGGCAAGGCAGCCTATTAATTCTGTTGGTTTGAGCAGCAGGGCCGAGGAGTCAGACAAAAAAGACGGCCTCTACGCACCAGCCCTTTTCTATCTTTTATATTCTAGCACATGCTTAAGCCGGATCCCCTGCTCAGTCTGTTTGACCAGCTGTTGAAACCCACAAGCTTTAAATCCACAACACACAGGGACTCCAACGCTGTCCAATACTACCCTCTACTGGCTGAAAGGAAACTTGCAATCCAAAACGTGGTAAAGAATATAGTGGAGTGAACTTTTACAAACTAGGATGATTTTGTTTGGGGCCCTTATAATAAAAACACAGTTGCTTGACTCTTTTCTTTTGTGTATCTAAAACTGTGCAATGTCACTGCTTTATATTCTATTCTAAAACAATGGTTCTTAAATGCTTCTCACACTTCTCACTCCATACATTTGCTTTATCTTAAATCTTATCTTTAAACAGGTCAAACAATAATAACATTGAATGAATTACCTCTTGAGGTAAATTTTTGGTCCCCACAAAGCAAAAATGACTATATACACATTTCAGTCCTCACACTGAGATAAACACCCTCTCTCACACATGCCCATGCATACACAGTGAAGAGAGGAATACTTTGAAAATGTTTTTAGTTACAGAATACTGTATACCTGCATTAAAATGTGTTTTGTAACATATTCCGATACATGATCCAATCAGAGTACTGTATTCTGAATATACAGAACTACATTTACTACACTTACTGCGTGGTACTAATAGTATTAGTGTTAACAGCTTTATACCTGTTTTTAAAGAATTTCCTGTCACTAACTGGGGATGGAAAAATCACACATGCCTCACCAAAAGAGCAGAGTTGTCTATTTTTCTCACCGGGTGTACAAAATATCAAATACCATTAAGTATTCTTTTGATTTTAGAAAAGTAACTGTATTCTGAATATCACTGTAATACAGGAATTAGTATTCAGAATATGCATTGTTGGTACATGTATTCAGTTAATTCCCAACAGTGTGTATACACACAACAATATATGAGTCTAAAATTATACTTTTTCATTGATGTCAAAGTGGGAGAAAATGAAAGATCAACAGAATTCCTATTTGATGCGTATGAACTGTGAGTAGAGTACTTTTGATGGGCTGCTAGTCTGCCTCAGAAGCTTAAAAATGTGTCTGTTTCATCTACAGTTAGTTTGAAGTACTGGAGCTCTATCTTTATCGGTCACAATATGGAAGAAGTTTGTTAAAGTATTTAGAAAAAAGTCCCCAAAACAAACAAATGTGAGACAAGCCCAGCAGCTGATGTGGTTTCAAAGCTTTCCTGTGTCCTGAAAGATCAAGTCTATTTTGTTTCAAGTTCTATGCTCGCTTTGCCTGCTGAGGGCTCTAGGGTGAAGAGGGAGAGATGCAGAGGAAGAGTGAGAGAAAGAGAGAGAAATGTGTTTGATTTGTCAGAAGTTCTTTAATTTAATTTACAGCTGTCAGGATGTTGAAGATCTAGACCTCATCACTGCCTTTTATCTTCCTCGTTTCACCTCAGGCACTAGACAGTCTTCTCTAATACACACACATGGCACATCATGATACAATGCAAAGAGGGGCACTAAGAGCAGAGTGACAGCAACAGCCAAAGACACTGAGAAGATGTGCTGAGTCAAAATATAATGAATAAACAATATTTTGATAAGCACCGAAACTTGAGTGTAGCAATAGCTGAATGCAGGTTTAAATGAACCTAAAAAAAGGAATAAGTTTAGATTTCTGTTGAAGAGATCAGATATTGTTGCATCTAGAATTATGACAATTTTAGACACCTTATTTATTTTTTTATTTTTTTTGCAGATAACTTTTGATTTAAGACATTTGTAGATCTGCCCTTGTCTTGGCCAACCATAATGTGGATAATAACATGACTGAACTATATTAAAAAGTTATAATACTCCACTAGCTTCATGACTGTTTGAAAACACATGCAGATGTACTCAAAATGTTAATTTGTTTTCCACCACTAGAGACACTTGGACTCATATCCGCCACTGACAATAAAATACATCAAGATTTCATTCACTTTTTGTCTCCACCTAATTTTTAATATCACTGCTTCCCTCCTTGCACTTAAACCTCTCTGTGGTCATATATCTGCTATCGGCACTGACTCTCTGGAAAGATCTCAAATTTCACAAATTCTTGCAATCTTTCAGTAAAACACCTACCTCTCAACTCTAAAGTGCAGTCCAACAGTCACTGTGGGACTCTGCAGATGGGCCCTCACTCCTTTGAGAAGACTATGAAGGAGGAAATGAGAATTAGACATTGGTCAGAGAAACAGGATCATGTGTTTCTCCCTGATGTGAACCTTTGCAGTGAGAGCATACTTTCAAATAAGAAGAGAGTATGACAGACAAAATCTCAATGCCTTTGACTTCTTCTACCTAACCTGTTTTTTGAGTATGAGCCTTATTTGAATAATCTGTGACCTTTGACAAACTTGAAAGAAAAAAACTTAAAAAAAACAACAAAAAACTTGTATATTATGCAATCTGCAATCTATGTTATAATGTCATTTTCTCATCAAAAACATATCTGGGGTTTTGTGGAGTATTTTGTTTGCAGATGTTTAACATATAATCCTGCATATTTAGGCTGTGTTCTTCTCTCAAATTGAAATCTCCACCTTGTGATGTCATGTGGTAATACAGGAAGTGCTCTAATGTGTTTTTAAACTCCATACATCTTCACTAGAATCATTTGAATGATTTCAGTCCTGGAATTGCCCATCTCTGTTGAATTAAACGTAAAAGGTAGGTGTTGGATAGGTAGCCGTGTCAATACGCCACATCACAAGGTAGAACAGAGCATTTTGAGCTTTGGAAATGCAGACACAATAATAAAACGAGTTACTCAAACATGACATGAAATTAAACAAAACAAAACGAGGAATGTTTTCGATGAGGTAACAACAGTCTAACATGTCGGACGCAAAAGGGTCTCATAACGCGTAATATAGGACCTTTAAGGCTTAATGTGGACTAATGATTTTAAAAACATCAACTGATGTATGAAGCTATTACTTTTAAGAAATGTAATGTAATGCAATGTAATATTTAGATTATTTAAGATCGTGTCTAAGTTGAGCTTTCCTAACCAATGATCTCACGCTTACCAGTTACAGTATGATTGCACGTTGCAGCCAATTTATTTCCCCAATAAAGGTGAACTTCAGCGTCACTTGTGATGCTGATTGTGTACAGCAGATGGCGCTAGAATACTAAATATTAAACACAAAATATCAAACGCTTCATGATAAATCTGAAGATATTACAGCCAGGCCTGATTGCTAGACAAGAGTTGTTTGTTCACTGACCAAGATCCAAAGATATGCTGTTATTATTAATTGAAATAATAAAATAATTAAGGTCATTTTAATTCAGGATATAATTCGCCTGTTTTATCAAATTTACATAACAGAACCTACATTTTAGCTCACACTTTAAATAACTAGAGCTAAATCAAAATAGGTTCAATTGGAGCAAAAATGTTTTGTACCGTTGTGTACCACTAGGTGTCACTACTAACATCCACATTGGTAACTGGGTGACCTACTGTAAGTGTACTCCACGTTTCTCTGAGCCCGGGACTGGATTGATGATAAACTGGTGGCATTTCAGCGCTCCCCTACGCATGCTCATCTCCTCATACTGTAGCAATATGCTGTAACAATTTGTATCAAACAAATGATCTCTTCTTACATCATTTAATTTTCTAAAGAAAAACATTCTACCCACCCACCCTCAATATGACAAACGTAAGCTATCAATTCATATCAGTCACAGAGGGTAGGCCTAATTGGAACCTTTCAAAATAAATGCGTCCGTTTTTGTCCGTGCGTACTTTCACTGTGATTTTGATTTGAACTTTTATTGTGAGCGCTTTAGGCGGAAGCTGCGCGATGATTTCTGTGACGCTCAAAGCGCCGGGGCATCCTCTGCAACCTTCTGTCTGTGTGCGTGACAGAGGCGTGTGCGTGTGTAGTACGTGTGTGTAAACACAGCTAGGTGGGCTCATATGTTCGGGGAGAGGACCAGGTCAGACCGCTGCAGTGATTACCTGTCAGAATCAGCCTCAGTGACCGCTCAGATGACGAGATGGCAGCTGAATCCACCCGGAGATTCACCAAGAACCTGCTGAAGCCGGGGAGCGCCGCGGAGATACGGCAGACGGCGTGCAACGCGGTCCGACTCTCCGCAGTGACGGTGAGTAGACCCACTGAACAGTAAAACATGGTGGCAGTGAAAAACACCTGTAGGCCCTCTGGTTCCGAGGGAATCCCGTGTGAATCTGATATGGGTGTATATGGAGCATAAAATATGGACTGCATAGTAACTGTAGTAAACGGAGTTGACATTGACATTCATGTTGCATCTTTCATAGCGGTGGATGGATGAGCGCTGGTGCAGCTACGGTCTGCTCTGTCCATTGATGCACTGCACTGGCTGCAGCTCGATACGTTTAAATAGACAATGCTTCGTAGGCACAGGAATTACTACAATTTTCTCTGGTGTATTGCCGAGCAAACATATATAGTGTACTAAATCAACTGACATTTCTTTTATGGGTTGGTTTCTAAATTAAATTGTGAAAATGTGTAGTGTGCCATGACACATCTGCCCAATGGTGATCAAAACAGTTAAAATGGAGGCAGTATCGGAGTATGATAGACCAAGCTTTGCTTTTATGTTCAACTACATTTGAGATGTGGAGATTATAGGAGGGAAAAAGGTGTCATATCTTATCATGTACAGATGCAGATATTCACCAGTAAACATAGGTTATTATGTTTCATTGTGTTTTTGTTTGTTTGTTTGTTTGTCTGTTTGTTTAATTTGCCAGAAGGCAAATCCTTTGCCTACTGTTGTGTATGCTTGCATACTGTATTATGTGGATGGGCAAGTGAAAGGTCACTCCACTGCCTCACACCCTCCACACTGCACTGTGTTAGTGTGTCAGTGGGACACAGAGCAAAACGCTTCATTGATTGAGGGAAACTGTCACTCGGGTTTTAAATTGATCTAATATCATTCATAAATATAATGTTTATTAAAGTTTCTGTCAATATCATTGTTATGTCTATTGGTGCTACATTTTGTGGTTCATTTTGAATAACTATATTACAAGGCTAATCAACATGTTCTGAAAGATTTGAAGTATTAAATTGAGTTGTTTTTAGGTTAGACTAAATACCAGACAAACGCATAATATGTCGTTATGACTGTTTCTTTTCTAAACCTGTGCAATGACTGTGATCGGTATGGTACTTTTCTAACCAATGTGGTTATCATAGGCCATGCACATATTTCATGTTTCCTTTAATTAGTCATCAGAGAAGACAAAAGGATATGTGCAGCGCAACTTTCAAATTAGACGTGCACAATGGAGCAATCACATTTAAGTGTTTCCTTCCTTTGTTGCAGTTTGCACCTAATTTATGACAAAATCTCAAATAATGCAAACCCCCACTCCTACTCCACAAAGCTACTACTAATCTTCAAACTGTGCAGACTGTGAAAAATCACTGCCAGGCATGTCTGCATGTCTGGAGCCAAGTGTGTGCCAGTAAGTCATGCACAGTCATTTATTGGTGGGGGGCATGTTGAGGAGATTTCCCTATGTGATACGTGCTGTAGGGTGCTGTCATTGCCACTCACTGCTGTCCTCATGACACACTATCTCTACTGCCTGGAGTCAACTAACAGAACCGTTTGACCCAGCTTATGATTATATTAACATCTTAAATTGTGGACTTCTGTGTCTGAAATACACACATTTATTTGATGAAAACACAAATGGATGTAACAAATTAAACATACTAAAGATGTGAATGTTGTGGTAGCGGACAGTAACCGGATTAGTCTTCTGTAATTACTCCACAGTCATGGCTCCGTTGCCACGACAACAGAAAAGGTCAATTAGGATGGAATTTTTACAGGAAGTCCTCCTCTCTCCTTTGGCATATCTCAGATCTTGTTTATCATTCAAAAAGGCTTTTTCCCTTTCTCTGAGTTTTGATTTCACTTAAATATGTTCCTGATTCTGACACATTTCCTCTTGTTTTAATGTTTAGACTTGAACTTGACTTCCCATGATAAACAGGGTGCAAACTGTATTAGGGTCTCTGCAAATGGAAAAGAGGTAAACATGAACATTCTCATAAGTAGGCCATACTGTACTTGGTACTCAAACAATGAAGACAGACATAAAATAATAAAGAGCCATATTATAACTGTATCATATTGGCTGAGTTATGGGGTCATGATCTTTATATCCCTATAAAATATGGGCTATATTTTAGAGAACTATCCAGAGAGGCATTTGGTTTAATATATATAGATGGTGACTTTCTTTTAGAGCTGCACTATGACCAAAATAAGTTTTGATTTACTCTTTCATACAGTATAGTCTAGAAGTCAAGTCTTCACATTGATGTCATCACCCATGTCCCTTAATCTAGGCTAAATGACATTTCTGATATTAAGATGAGTTGATATTTGATTCTTAAACTGCTGATGAGTTGTTTAGAATACTTCGCAAGTGAGATTAAAGAGGCTACTGCAGATGAATAGCCATTTGTTTTGACTAAACCACAGATAGTACCAGGGCACTGTGAAGACTTTGCGGTCTGTCTTTTCAATGACACATTCACTGTACAAGGAATTAAATGAAAACAAATGTAGGCCCTTACTGGAGCCATTGTCACTGACTGAATCAGACCACTGTAATTAGAAAGTGTTCTGTAATCATGGTAGACATGCATTTGTGCAGTGTGTGCTGAATGAATTTGTTACTTTTGACTTGAAGTGTCAGACTAGAGGTTGTTGAATCCATGGACAAATAGCTGGTTTGGTCTGTGTGGGCCATCTCTGTGCAGAGAAAGTCTGTGCCTGTATGTCCATGTTTGAGAGAGGTCACATGAGAGGAGGAGAGAGAGGTCCCTGGGGCAGGGTGCATTGTGCCAGCCTAGGTTTACAATAGGCTCTTTGCAAAAGCTTCACAGTCAGTGAACTGCTGCTTTCAGACTTAGCTGACTGGCTCTGCCTCACTGGAGCTTCACTTTTATCCATTTGCTCTGATTCTCTTAAAGCTCTGTCCATCTCCCCTCTCTAGCCTGACACCATACACTTTTTTCACGTACCCTTGGGATGGATAAGGAGGAGGAGGTCCACTCTACTTCACATAGTGGTCTAAGAATAGTTCTCTAACTCTTTGCTGAGTGAATTGCTGTGTTGTGTCTCTGCCTTTCTGTGAATTCCAGAGTAGGAGGCCTGAATATGCTAGTGCCATTATAGAGCGACCCTTATGCCCTCATGCCCTTGCCAGCTCAAACTGCACACTACTGTGTGACACTTGTAAATGATGTGGACTTTCCCTCATTATGCCTTTGAAGGCAGTTATCAGACTGTGCTGCAGGGAGCTACATAATTGGGAAACAAAGTAGAGAAAATGTGTCAACAATTGTCCACCAGGCCACCACAGGATCTTAACATAAGCACGTTTTGGCCTTTTGTCTACCTCTGCACTGCCTGTCTAATGGTTTCCTGTTGGCTTTGATCAGTCCTACTGACCCACTAAACCCCCTTTTAACATGTCAGTCTTTTTAGGTTTGTCGGTACAACATAAAACAGGAGCTGAAACATGCAGCCTGTATTAATGTTTGATCAAGAGCTGCTCCATGCACACTGAAGCACAGGAAAAAGTGATATTAATGTAGGTTATATGAATGAAGAAAAAATCTGATTCAAACAAATGAGAAGATGGAAAGAATTTCTTTCTTTCTATTATCTTATTTTTTGCACTCACTGGAGCATGTGTTATTTGTGCTATATGAAGACACGGTCATGTTATCTGTTTAAGTATGCAGCTATAATTGACTTTTTTCAGATCTCAAGAATTTTACCAAAGTATTATTAAGTCCAGTCTTCTATTCCCCTATAAACCATATCAACATGCACAAAATAAAAATTCTGCTAAGTCCCAATCCTTTTCACCTCAAACATGGAAACTGGACACTAGTGTCTGATTGACAGATGTTTAATTATGACATGCTCAACAAAAAAGACAAAGCTGGGCCTTGATGGTGGATTTACAACACAAATCAGAGCTTCTACATTGTCCTCTGCGTGTTTTGGTTAGGATCTCATTGAGTGGTTTTGAAATCCCCTGCATTTCAAATCCATTTGGCCAACTCCTCTCTGTACTATTATAACTGACTTGTTCTCTGGACAATTTACTGCACCTTCAACATCAGCCAAAGCCCTGTAAAAGAGATCTGTGAAAGAAATGGAAGAAAGGGGGTCAATGAGTGAGGCAGACACAATCACAAAGGGGGCTTAGGTAATTTGGATAGAGGATTATGCATATGAAAACACATGAGGAAAAGTCCTTAAAACAGCTGGGTCCTGCGCCGTGGGGACCAGAGGGAGAAAGAGCTGCTGAGTGGGCGTCTGCCAGATACTAGAGGTCACGCTGAGGTCACATGTAGGCTTTGTGTTGGTGTCATGTAGGCGTATTACTGCATGATTAATTAGGATGTAGCTATTCAAATACAGTTTTTTCTGTACTGCTGTTGTCAGTGTTACGATTTGCTGATAATTTTACATGATAATAACAAATGTTCAAGAATAGTGGTATGTGTTTCTGGCCTGAGCGTATAAAAGTCAATATTAACTTAGACTTGGTCTGGGTGAAATAAGGTTCAAAGTAAGGACACATTTTTCAGCTAGAATAGTTGAAGATAGGATTTAATAAGAAGCAGCACAGAGATAAAATGCTCAGACAGACCTGTTATTGGGTTTCATCAAAATCAAGGAAAGTTTGAAAGAGATTCCTGATTGGCTACTTGGAAATAGGGCTGAACAATACACCGCAGAAGTACTGATATAGCAAACTAAATATGTAGCTTTATTTATTAAATTAGCCTTGATTTAATCTCGGTTTTGTCTATATTAAATTTTTATTTTTCTTGTAACATGGCATTGGCATTCACATAGACTGACATTATAGTGTCACAAAGTATATTAAAGTATTGCAGTAATATCGATATCACAGTACATGTTTTCCACTCTTGTGCAGCCCTCCATGGAAAAGGATGTTGAGCAAGAAAAAAAGGCAAGAAATGACAAATAAAAAAATATCCACCAAAAATAAAATTAAGATTATGTCATATTGCTGATTGCTGATTCAAGACCTAATTTCTGCA